CCACTATTAATTTTCCAGGCTTCTAATGGCTATATAGTCTAATCTGTGTCCTACTATATGATACTTTAGGTAAGTAGGAGACCATTAAATAGTAGACACACATGGTAGAATGTTTCAGATTAAACAAAAAAATATTGGAACACATATGCTTTTAATGAGAAAACAAGTAATGCATTAAATTTCATAATTAATATATCATTGATCATGCTGAGATTGATGTTGTCTTTATACAGGGCAACAAAATAAAAGAGGTGTAATTAAAATAAATTATCCATGTTGCTATCTTTAGGATCTTTCATCTTAAATAAATTCTGACATTACAAGAGAGCTTTTCATATGCAGATACTATCCCCAAATTGTAAGTCTGCGAATAAGAGGATACAAAGGTAAGCAGTGTCAAAAATTTTAGGGTCCATTTGTAGTTTAGAAAGACTATATTTTCTCAAACATTATTATCCAACACATGGTGACAGCATTGGTGGTATTCACTTCGGAAATGAACAAATCAAAGAAGCAGATCATATTGGGATGAAAATGTACGCCTGGAATGATTTCTTAAAAGTGGGTTTGAACCATCCTTTCATCAATATTCCAGTGCAAATGCATGAGTCATATTGGGATGAAAATGTACGCCTGGAATGATTTCTTAAAAGTGGGTTTGAACAATCCTTTCATCAATATTCCAGTGCAAATGCATGAGCGAAATAGCCATACATATACTAACATCTTTTATTTTCTTCCTATTTTCATTTTTAGATTGTCACCGACACCCAAGAATAAGCATTGCAGTGCTCTAACTGGTATTGATTTGCCGCACTCCTATTTTTGATAGATCTGTGATTGATTGATGCTCATATTATTTTGAGTCGAGTTTAGGTTCATAACTTCATATACAAATTGTGACTCAGGCAATTCAACTCTTGAATTTTCATATAGAAATCTGGTGCAGTAGAGTAGCACCTCCAACCTCAGTTTCATCATTCTGTCTAATGTCTCATATTCCCTGTTATCATTGCATTGTACTCTTTATATAAAATAGCCTAACAGCACAAAGAAATATTGAAAATCACCGGTCTTGTTGGAAGGAAGGGCATGGCCGCATCATCACAGCACACTGAATGTAACTCATTGGTAGATTCAATTTGTTTATGGTGGGTGGTATGTATAGCAGATAGCACGAACCCACTCCCCACTGGTGTCATCATTAGAAGTGTATATAGAGTATGATGATAAGTGTATATAGTCAATTATTTATTATAAATTTGTTGATTTTATTTTTATATATAGGTACTGTTATCATTGTGCATGGTTGAATACCCACCTGTTGCTGGCTCATATGGATTATTCTAATTAATGATGTTACTGATCTTGGAGCTGGTGCAAGTGGCAAGGGAAGATCAGGCTATGTTACAGAACCATTATTATGGTGGAACATCTGAGTACATCATGAAATTTCTTAGCCTACTCATCTAAGGCCTTGTATAATTGATAATTCAATAAATTGAAATTTTGAAGCGTACCATAAGGGAAATGACCGTTGTTGTGAAAGAAAATTATCCTTTTAGTTGTGGGTTGGATTTTGATATGAATTCAAACATGGTGTTGGTGCTTACCAACCAACTCTTGTTGTAAATACACTGTTTATTTCCATTCAGTATATAAATTGAGCAGCAAACTACTACGGCAAATACACATTCTTATTTCTATTTGGATTCTTGTTATCTATTATATGAATCCTCTTGAATGTGTATTATTATTTTATCAAAATTTTCACTGTAATTCCTCCATTACGAACGAACCTTTTTATGAACACGTGCGTGCCGTATATGTAGGAATTCAATTATTAAACACTTTTTTTGTACTCATCCATCTTGATATTTTTATAGACACGTGCGTGTCGCACGTGCATATCTACATGTCGAGGACCAATATTAGGGTACCTGAAGAGGAGGAGCTAATGACCATCAACGTTGATTCGTCCACGCGATCAAGAGCGCGACTACACCGCTTGCCGGGTCCCGCCTCGTCCGGCCACCGAGGGGGTGGGCCCTGCCTCGTCTGACCCCCGAGGGTTGGCTCCGCCTCGGTGGGCGCTGTGGCCGTGGAACCCGTCTCGCCCGACCCCCAAGGGTTGGTTCTGCCTCGGTTGACTCTCGAGGGATGGCTCCGTCTTGCCCGACACCTGAGGGCTGGCTCCGCCTCACCCGACGTCCAAGGGCTGGCTCCGCCTCGCCCGACGTCTGAGGGCTGGGTCCGCCTCGCTCGACGTATGAGGGCTAGCTCCGCCTCGCCCGATGTCTGAGGGTTGGCTCCGCCTCGCCCGACGTCTGAGGGCTGGGTCTGCCTCGCCCGACGTCTGAGGGCTGGCTCCACCTCGCCCGACGTCTAAGGGCTAGCTCCACCTCGCTCGACGTCTAAGGGCTGGCTCCGCCTCGCCCGACGTCTGCACGCGACTCCTTTATAACGACGTGCGCAGATAAGGTAGGGCACTCAAGTCAACCACAAATACCAAGGACCGTACCCTGCACGCCTGCAGGAAAGTACCGTCAGGGCATGCCAGAAGGATGCTTTACGACCTTCTAGGCATGTTAGAGCCCAAACAGTGTTGTAGGCGCCGACATTTGCCTTACAGTGTTGTGGGCGCCGTCATTTGCCCTCGGGCACGAATCCTTACGGAAGCTCACGACAACCACTATGGTCCAGAAGGAAACTCGCATCATCTACAGTAACGGACGTGCGGTCACTGTGCTGCCTGCTCCCTATATGGCCGTTGATCAGCACCCTGATCCACCGCCCCACCCGCCAGGGCGGGATGGGACATGACAACTCGCTGACAATGCCAGGACCTGACATCGTCAGCGGACAGACACCCAGCGTGGCCCTGTCGGGGTCAGCGGACATGCGCCTGGCGTGGAGCTATCCCTGTCACCGTCTGCCATGTCAGCGGGGCCCGCACAGAGGAAAAGGAAGACCCAGCGTCCTTGAAGGACCTCCTTTGCCTCTGGTTTTCCTCTTTTCTCCCATCTATAATCCATGCTCTCTCTTGGCCTATAAAAGAGAAAGTAGGGCACCCAACTAAGGGGATCGATTCATCACATCACGCGTCACACTGCATCACAGCAAAACCACTAGCGTCGAACCTCGAACACACAGTTGAGCAGTGACTTAGCACTCGGCACCCATTCGATCTTTTCATCAGAGGCCTAGGACGTGTCCTTCTCTCGCCCGTTTGTAACCCCTACTATGAACTTTTCAGTGCTAATAACACGAGCAGCAGCCACGAACTGGACGTAGGGACATTCTGCCCGAACCAGTATAAACCTTGTGTCTTTTTAGCACACCATCCGGGCCAGACGCGCAATAACACAAATTTACTCGTTGGTGTTTACTTGAAACACCGACGCTACTAATATAATATAAGGGATGATCTTGATCTGCATATTCACCTCGATTCCACCGCACCATGTTTTGTGCCTTGTCTCATTGTCTGAGTCTGACGGTGAGTTCGGGGACACTAGAGTGGATCATTCGCTTGGTTTAAGATTTCCACGTTATCCTGAAATGGCATGGTCAAACAAATCTTTTTTTTAGAAAGATCCAAAACATAGCCCGCATATATTAATAAGAAGATGAGAGAATTACATGCGCAAGCAGCGCTAACGGTTTCCCAGGATTGACAGACTGTCAAGCTGGGCAAACAAATCTAGCATACCTTGCATTGGGTTTCTTATGACGAAATTATTAGTCTCACCACTTTTCTCTTCCAGGTTAGCTGATGTGTTTGGCTATTAGTCGATTGTTATATACTTATACCTGTTCTACGCAAAGTGTATCCAATTAAGCTATACAACAATAATTTTTTTATTAGTCTCATCCAATCTTCTATATGTTTTTTTATTTCTTCATGGCCTTCACTTTTCTATATTTTTCTCTCCTCCTGTCACCTCATGCTATCTCATTGTGTATTGGGTCATCACACCGTACAAATGCATGCCCACGCTGCCATGCAGCAAAAGCTGTAGTTTCTCCATCAAAAAAGAATGTAAATCTCAAAAAATCTTAAACTTGACCAAGTATATAGAAGATGTTATCTATATTTAGATCTCTAATTAAATTTATTATACAAATATATCACATGATTAATCTCATGATACTTATTGCGTATCATAAACATCAATACCTTTTTATAAGCATTTGGTCAGAATTAAAAATCTTTGACTCCTGGAGATATGAGATTTACATTCTCTGTGGGACTGAGGTAGCAGAATCGTATTGGAATGCGTGTTGCGATGGTCCAGCGTCGAGCTGGCTTACCTCTCCTTTCTTCTCTCTTTCATGCCATCCAAAGCGTTGACTTGCAAAATATATAGAAGTATTTGCTACATATCGTAATTCCAAATCACATAAACCCTAGCTGCCTTTTTGCCCTTTTCTCCAGAGGTAAAAAACTAATAAACGAGATATCATTACGCCTCAGCACACACGCTGAATATCATTACGGCACCAGGAGCCCGAGATATTTCGTGGAAAGTACGGCTTGCTTCCGGACAGGGCGCTCAGCTGGACGCTTAGCCCCTGCGTTGTTTCCTGCACAAGGCTACGGAGCAAGCAATGCGCGCTGCAAGCTGATGCACGGCTGCCCGCCTGCCCTCATCCTCTCGTCGCTGATGCACACGCATATATATGCGCTGCCGCGCTGCACCAAGCTTCCAATACGATGTCCTTAAAAAAAAAAAAAGCTTCCAACACGTAGGATACTACGATGCCTCGTGCCGGAACACTGCTGCTTCTGCTCCTCGCCGTCAGCGCCGCGAGCTTGAGCGCCTCTGAATCCATCGGCGATGGAAGCCAGCAGGTCGGACGGATCATCTATCCATCAGCATGCATGTAGATTTTGTTGCTGCCAGTAGCTATACCATGCGTGCTTGTAGCATGTTGGTTGTGTCTTGTGTTCTTTTCTCAAAGTAATTTTATCGCATCTGCTTGGTCGTGATAAGCAGGTCTACATCGTGTACCTGGGGCATCTACCGCCCAGCACGGATGCGTCAGAACCTGAAGGTTTCTCTGCTGTAGAATTTGCTCATCACGACCTGTTGAATCAGGTCCTCGACGACGGCAGGTAGAGAACTCTCTTTTTTTACCACAGAAGAGTAGCAATCCAGGCATCTGTTTTTATTTGGTCAGGCTATTAGTTGTCAAAGAAACGGATATGAGTGTCCCAACGGATTGGAAGAGCCAATGTTGGCTTCGAAAACGAAAGAGAACATAGAAAAAGATTATCTTTATACAAGAGCCAATGTATTTTTGTCTTTTGCAGCTCTGCTTCAGACAGGATTCTCCGTAGCTACAAGAGAAGCTTAAATGGCTTTGCCGCCAAGCTTAACAAAGAAGAGGCACATAAACTGTCCGGTTTGTGACAATTAACATGCTCTTCTTTTCAGTCATTTTCTTTTGTGATTGTGGATTGAGGTTTATTTGTGACCTATGTCACAAGGACGTAGAGACATCAGGGATAGCTGGATGAACCCAAACATATATATCAACTTTTAATTGATATTCCTCGCAAAAAAAACTTTTAATTAATATATCAACGAATTGTAAAGCAAGCATCTCTCTTATACTTTTTTCCTTGTTACCTTTAGGCATGAATGGCGTTGTCTCGGTCTTCCCAAGTAGGACCCTCGATCTTTTGACCACAAGATCCTGGGACTTCTTGGGCTTCCCTCAAACGCCCATTGAAGAGCTACCACTAGAGGGAGACGTTATCATCGGTATGCTCGACACTGGTATATGGCCTAACTCGCCATCCTTCTCTGACGAAGGCTTTGGCCCACCACCGAGCAGGTGGAAGGGTACATGCCACAACTTCACGTGCAACAAGTACGAAAAGACCTTTTCTTCTTTCACTTCTTCTATATTTCAGGTGCCTGAATTTTAAGATGATTTTAGACAACATTCTTGTATAACCAACTAGTAGAAGTAAATTGTTATTTTTGTGATTTGTTATTTAACTTTGTATTATAACATATTAATTTTTTGTCCTTATCTGACTACAGAAACAATTGTAAATTGTTAATTCTCGTTGTGCCCATACAGATCAGTCTTGCCTAATGGATTTTTTATTCTTAGAACAAAAAAAAAACAGATTAGGCCTACGTAAATTGCAACGAACTGAAGTTACAATTTAGTATAAAATATATACAATAGCCATCCGAAGCTAAAATTCATACACCTAAATTTTAGCTTCCCTTTCTTTTTAGTGTCTAGCTAGCTTAAATAAGTTGTTTGAGATATCCCTTATTTGTTAGTTTGGAGGCAAAAATTTATCAATAGAACGGTTCAATTAAAGCAAAGGAAAACCGCCTAACAAAGTAGTACAGGGCCTCAACTTTTATCTCGTCCAAAGGCCCAAACCATGACACAGACTCACTGGTCAATTATGGCTTGACATGCAGTAAAATCATCGGAGCACGTGCCTACCACGGAGGATCCAGCAGCTCTGGCCTGTCGCCACTGGACGATGACGGCCACGGCAGCCACACGGCGTCCACCGCGGCCGGGCGTGCGGTGGCCAACGTTAGCTTGTACGGCTTGGCCGCCGGCACAGCTCGCGGCGCGGTGCCCGGTGCCAGGCTCGCCAACTACAAGGTGTGCTGCAGCGAGGCCGACATCCTTGCAGGATTCGACGACGCCATCGCTGACGGTGTGGACGTGATCTCCATCTCCATCGGGAGTCCCTTCCCATCTGACTACTTCAGCGACGTGATAGCCATCGGCGCCTTCCACGCCATGAGGCGTGGGGTGCTCACGTCCGCATCGGCCGGGAACTCGGGGCTCGTTGGCGGCCGAGTTGGCAACGTCGCGCCATGGATGCTGTCTGTGGCGGCGAGCAGCGTGGACCGTCAATTCATCGACAGGATTGTTCTTGGGAACGGCGATACCATAGTGGTCAGCGCTGAACCCTAACTTTTTATACTATGTCCTTATATTTTTTTTCACAGAAATCAGAGTCTGAATGAAAAGGTCAACCATTACAACTGTTTTGTTCTGTTGCAGGGAGCCTCCGTTAACACCTTTCAAACGATAGCAAATGCTACACTTGCATTCCCTGCCAACGGGTAAGACGATGACAATGTCATACATACATACATACATACATACATACATACATACATACATACATACATACATACATACATACATACATACATACATACATACATACATACATACATACATACAAGTGTTTATGGTTTTTTTGCTACAATAATGTAGGTCATGTGATCCAGAGAACCTCGCCGGAGGTCCTTACAAAGGCAAGATCGTCCTCTGCCCACCCCAGGAGGGCCGTTCGAACGGCGTCTCAGGCCCTTTCTTGGCCGGTGCAGCAGGTGTCGTCTTAGTCACCCGCGCGCCCGACGTCGCTTTCACTCTGCCTGTCCCCGGTCTCACGGTAACTCAGGACAAGTTCGACCAAATCATGGCGTATGTCAACAGCACTAGGTGAGCTCAATGACCATTGCTAGATTGCCAGATCGATGAACTACACTATATATCCCAGTTCGTGTCTGTTGTGCAGTAATCCTGTGGGTACCATAGACCGCACCGTGACTACGGGCAATCCACAAGCTCCAGTGGCCGCCTCCTTCTCTTCTCCAGGCCCCAACTTGGTCACCCCTTCGATCTTGAAGGTGCCTGATCGATGATATTCACGAACAATCTTCCATCATTTCACGGAAATGTCGCATTTAAAATTAAACATTCTCTCTACAACGTTCAAATGTGTGCAGCCTGATCTATCTGCGCCGGGGGTAGACATCATTGCCTCATGGTCACTGCTGTCATCACCCTCGGGCTATCCTAACGACACGAGGAAGGTTCAGTACAACATCATCTCCGGCACATCCATGGCGTGCCCACACGCAAGCGGAGCCGCCGCCTATGTCAAGTCACTCCACCATGACTGGTCGCCGGCGATGATCATGTCGGCTCTCATCACCACCGGTACGATGGTGTAAAGAATTTGCAACAGCATCGAATATATAGCGTATATATGATCCTCATGATGCATGCAGCCACTCCGATGAACACAGCGTGCAACTCCAACACGACCGCGCTCAAGTACGGCGCCGGGCAGCTCAACCCGGCAAAGGCGCACGACCCGGGCCTCGTGTACGACACATTGGAGGGTGACTATGTGGCCATGCTGTGCGCGCAGGGGTACAATGCTACGCAGCTCGCGCTCGTCACTGGCTCCAACACCACGGCCTGCCCCAACGGCTCGACGTCCGGGACACCCAGCGACCTCAACTACCCGACTATGGCGGCCCGTGTGGAGCCGGGGATGAAGTTCTCCGTGGTCTTCCCGCGCACTGCCACCAACGTCGGGGCCGTGGCCGCCGTGTATGACGTGAAGGTCGTGTTTCCTGTTGAGGCGGTCAATGACCTCACCGTTGTTGTGTCGCCGAGCAGACTAGAGTTCAGCGCGCAGGGCCAGAAGATCTTGTTCACCGTGGGGGTGTCCGGCATGGCGATGGAGAAGGGCAGGGTCCACTCGGGTGCCATTGTCTGGTACAACAACGAGCATGAGGTGAGGAGCCCGGTGGTGGTCTACGCAACGTCGGACGACTCCCGGCCTCCTAGCAAAATGGGGTTTAGACAGTGAAGGAGCTGCCATCCAGGGCTTGAGTTTTGTGCCATGGTTACGGAATAAAAGTTGAATCTGTCTAGCCAACAACTAGTTGTTTTAGCTCCTCCAAACAATCAGATTTCTTCCATGCATTTACACTATAGCTATATTTACACCACCTTATTACTATATTTATAATGATTTGTTCAATATAATTTATTTGACAGAGTGATGTAATTTGGGGATAATTGCATATCTCAGATAAATATATGCTAAATTTTTCAAAAAAATTACAAATTATTTTTACACATCCTTTCCTGCCCGCACCAAGGGATGGAAAATTGGCTAGTCCTGCAGAACTTTTACAATGGGTTAACCCCCATGTCAAGAGGACATATTGATGTCGTTGTTGGAGGAGCCTTCTTCACTCACCATCAATGGAGCTACGGCTCTCGTTGCGAAAATCGTGTCCAATCAATGGTGGGGTGATGAGAGGCTCCAAGATGAACAACAAAAAGGCATGCATATAGTGAAGGAGACGTATATGCTTGCTGCAAAAATAGACCTCCTAATAAAAAGGCTTGATGAGCGTGCCGATGAGAAGGAGGCAATATACGGCACCGTCAAGGCCATGGACTTGCATAGGACATGCGAGGTTTGTGGTGAAAGTGGACATTTGGAGAACGATTGCCCTGAAACCCGTAAGGACGACACCTACATCAACAACGGGTTCCGTCCACGAGGAGGTAATAATAGGTGGAACAATCAATCACGTCCACCATTTAAAGAAGGTAATTCGAACTTCAATTCCAATTACATTTCGAATCAACCTTCCTGGATAGATCTTGTGTTAGGGCAAGCTCAAATAAATAAATACCTAATTAAAAATATTGTCTCTAATAATAAAATTTTGGAAAACATGAATGCAAATTTAGAAGGCTTAACCTCTTCTTTCACAAATCAATTAAGCCTTAATAAAATGTTTGAAATCCAACTAGCTCAACTAGCCGCTATAATTCCTGCATATCATTTTGAAAATATCTCGTGGAATCCGAGATTTTATTTGAAAATGTCAATATGGTAATCACGAGGGATGGTAAGTCCACTCGTGATCTACCATATCTTAACCATGCAGGAAAAACCAAAAAGCATAGGGGTACAACCCCGAATAATAGGCTTTGAGCTAGCTTGGGGGATAACCCCCATAAGGTAATGTGTATCTTGCACTCTCACCATTTTCCGTTACCTTGCTTATATGAAAAAAGAAAGAAAGAAAAAGAGAGCTAAAAAAAGAGAGAGGAATTAATTGTTCACCAACTCCATTATCTTATTTTTTTTATCTCCATGAAAATATAAATTCATGCTTACCTTGTTTATGTCATATACTCTGGTTTGGGTGTATTCACATGGACACATGTGGTATATCCATAGGCTTTTTAAATTAAGCATGCCGTTTACGTTAAAATTGCATTATTTAATCAAAATTAGACATGGTGTTTAATCTTGGTTAATGAACTATGAGTAATTATTTTCATAAACCATGGAAGCAATCTACAAAGGAGATGAATCAAGGCTAGAAGTTTACTGCAGTTTTACCTTTAAGCCTTGCTTGAGTTTTGCTAAAAAAAATAAAAATTTGGGTGACAAATAAAATTAAATAAAATATATATAAAAAATATTAAAATAAAATTTACCCGCAAAGTTTGCCTCTTTTTAATAAAAGCAGCTGAAGGACTGTAGCCCTTGGGCTAGCTTGGGGGAGAACCCCCGTAGAGGTAACTTGTATTCCACATTTCTATCCTACATTAATTTTATTATTTTCATTAATAATAATCATAAATAAGTAAATAAAATAAATAAATAATAAATATTCCACTCTATATATGTGTAGTAAAAATGTTTAGTTCATCCTTGTTGAAATGATGATTAGTTGCTCTGTCTTATATTTTGACTGTGCCTAATTTATAACTTAGCTCTCCTCTAAATTTGAGTTTATTGGCTAAAAATGTCTCATCCTAAAAACTTAAAACTTGTGGGTTGCAAATTCTTAATCTAGTCTAAGTTATTGCGGTATATGATATGGTGCAACGGAAATTTGCTATAAGTTTGTTCTAAGAAAGACTTGACATCCAGAGTTTTATTTTTTCAAAATGCTAAAATTAAAAGTTCATCGGTGATTTATACTTCCTACCTAAGCCATATGACATGTTCTGCAAATACAAAACCTTAGTCATATGCTGCTTGTTATCATGTTGAGCTTTGTCAAATTGTTTGTGACCCTTGTTGAAATTCTCGTCATGCACCCATGATCAAGATTCACGTACACCTACAAATAAAATGCTGACTCTTACACTAAGGGTTGCGCAAAAATATGTTTTTTTTCGTCCATCGAATAAATACTCCATTCATATTTTCATGAATCTTTCTCTAAAAAAGGGTTTTCATATGCCAAAAGTATGAGCTATGCTAAAAAAATAAAAAAAAAAAAAAAAAGAAAATAGCCATGCTAAAAAAAGCATGAGAGAAAAAAATGCATGCCAAAGAGCATGAAGAAATAAAAAGAGAGAGAAAAGAAAAAAAAAGAAATGAGATAGGCCATACTTTCAAATAAAAGGCATCCATCAAAAAGAGAGAGTCGTGATTAAAGGAGTACAATAAAATATATTGTAGCATTAGGAAGATTATAAAAATTCCACACACTTGCACATCTTGATCAAAGTGTATGACTTACATCTCCTTGAGGTTTGGTTTTTGACTTAGCAATATTATATGATGCAAGTATACCTTCTTTTATACCTACCCAAAGATCCACATATGCCATTTAGTTGTTAGGATGAAAAGAAAGGCATACATAAAAAGCCTTTGGTGAGGATCATACACTTCTGAGTGACCAGGTGAATCATTTGAGGAACTTAACTTTATTTTTTTGCAAAACTTCCAAAACCTCCAGAACAAACTCGATCAAAGAACAAATGATAAGCATATCTGTGAACCATTCTATCTTGGAACCACCCAAGACTTGGAGCAGGCCAAAAAGCTCCACAGTGTAACAAGACAATAAAGGGGTGGATAGAAATGCCGATTTATTCAAATTGAGGAAGAAAACTTTGTTATAGACATGGCACTTTTGAAATGTAATCGGCATTAAAGCAACTCCTGATCAACAACTAATGTCTTAGCTCTTGCTCAGGACGAGCAAGGGGTAAGCTTGGGGGATTTTGTTGGCGGTCCTTAGCGACAACATTTTACCACCAACTAAGATCCAAAAGAGGAGGAAACTAAGCATGACTTACACATATATGTTATCACTTTGACCTATTTTCACTTGTATTGGAAGATTATTAGTTTACGGGACATATACACGAATACGGTGGAAAAGGTGACAAAAGTACGCTTTTCAACAAAGCATAGAAGAGAAACAAAGAGAGAAGCCCACCTACCTTGCGAATCTGGGCCAAGCACCGACATAGACGCGACCCTGGCCCAAGAACAAATTGCCATGCAGAAGACAGTGGTGGGAAGGCCACACCTGGGTGCGGGTGCACCCCCTAGGGGCGCCAACTGCCTCCTTCCACGTGGCATCTCCTGGTGGCGCCTCCATGACGGTTGCATGCGGGATCCGGTGGAATATTCTCTAGAACCGATGTTTCCATGGCTATAAATAGAAGAGGAGGCCTCCCCTCTCTCACACACACCACACAAGAGCCTCTCTCCCACACTTGTATCTTTTTACTATTCTTAGTAGTGTTTGGAGCAAGGCAACAAGCTTCATTGGAGAGCTTGTACTTTGAAGAATTCTTGGTATGAATAATATTAAGGATTCTTCTATGTTCTTGTTCTCATTTAGTCAATATAGCTATGTTACGAAATCAGAGCAAAGTTCTTATGTTATTCATTTAGCATATGAAACTTTATGCTTAACCTTTCATACAATATACATGTATAGATCAAGACCTAAATTGAGGTAGTAGGTTCTACTTTAAGATTAGTTTTGATTATTATATTCTTGCGGGTTCATCGTCCGTCCCCGTGGCGGATGTTCTAGTAGAGGACTCTTGATAAAGATAGATGTTCCTGGCCGACGCTAGAGTAGTAGTCGATAGCATAGACTTAGGTGTCTAGGCTAGAGGCTACCTTCGTTTGCCTCGTATCCTCTGGTTGAGGGGTAGGCGGTAGGTGGTGACAGCCCTATCCGCCCTTTGTAATCCCCCACATTCAGATATAGTGTAGAGTTGTACGCCAGCAACACTTGACAGACCAAGTGTTATCCGGTGCCCGAAGTAAGTTTATAGTGATCAAAGTTATCTTAACTTAGGATCGCTACCCTTAGATATTCATGTATTTGTATGATCTGCTCACCTTAGCATAGCTATACAAGATAAGCCTGCTCCATTTTAGGTTTATTCTTTTATTCTTTTTTCTTTATTTTATCTTTATCCTTGAGATTGGCTTAAGTGTGTGTGTCACACTATCCAATGTTTATCCTGGCTTACCCCTGGTATGAACTTTAGTTTATTATATAGTCATGTTATCTTGACCATGTCCCTACTAGAAACTTTTACACCATGCCTTCCTTTGGAAAAATATAAATGAACAATATCCGAATACTTTCGGGTGAAATGCTACAACGATATATCCGTGCGCTTACGGAATATTTCTGCATGTGTTCAGAAATATCGTCACGACGTTTCTGGAGCCATTGCTAGGAAATACTAATCCTAGTGATGACACTAAGAAACGCCAACAGTCATAGCCTTTTAGGCTTCGGCCTTACAGATATAATGCAGCACAAAAGGATGAAATAGAAAGTCAGGTTAAGAAACTTTTAGAAAATGTATGGATTTAAGAGAGCAATTGTCCATATGCCTCACCTGCTCTATTGGTCAAGAAGAAAACTAGGGATTGGAGGCTCCGTGTGGATTACAGAAGGTTGAATGCTATGACTGTAAAGAATAAATTCCCTTTACCAGTCATCGATGAATTACTGGATGAACTTGTTGGGGGCACAATGGTTCACCACTCTTAATCTCTCCTCA